AATCGAATACAATAGTGGAAAAATTGTAAAAGGAAAAAAAAGCATTAAATAAATAAACTATATTCTATAGCCAAAATATTTTGATCTAAAATCAAATTTATTTTATACTTGGGTTGTTACTCTATTTTCTTGAGCTATATTGTTAAGGTAACAAATTGAAACTATCTTTTTAAGACCAAAAGGATTCTATATGAAAGTAATTGCTTTTTTTTTTTAGCATTTTAAAATAAATAAATTTGTATTAAGAAATCAAAATACTATTTATATTTTGGAAGATTAAAATTTATATGTATATCAACCAATTAGAAGAACAATAATAATAATAGTGTTTTTTTTAGATTCTAATCTTTAGTAATTTTACCTTTATTTATTAATTTATGATAATTTTGATATAAAAGGGATGCTAAATTTTGTAATTAATTTTTGGATTGAAAAGTAAAAATGTTAGAAAAGTTTTGATAATTGTCATCAAAAGTAAATATGGACAAGAAAACTGATCATTTTCAACCTGATGTGAACATTAAATTTTGGAAAATCTATTGAAGTTTTTTTCTTAGAATTATTCTAATTTTTATATTAAGAAAATATTTTTGGACGAATTTTGGTAAGTCCAAATTAATATATTTGTAATAATCTCTAAATAAGATAATTTATATATACTTTAGACTATCTTATTATTTAATATTGGTTAAACAAATAAATTTGATTATTGTATTAGTTTCAAAATTATGCATTAATATTTTCCTAAAAATTATTTTAACGATATTTAATATCTCAAATTTTTTAGATTTTCAATTTGTGTATGATAGAAGTTTCAAAAGTAATTTTTATGTGTGAGAAATTTTATAGGAGAATTTATTAATGTCACCCTCTAATAATAGTCATTTCAAATTGAATATAAATAATATCTAATTTAAAATTTATGATCATTAATTTATTAGTCAATTTAATTAGAATGGCCATTTATGTCAAAATCATCAGGTTTATTATAAAAGCTTTAGTTAAATTAACTAATTTAAAATTATATCATAACTTTTAATAGATATCACCTAAAGATTTTCATAAACATGAAATTGGATTGATGTAATTTTATAAATTTATTTTAAATCCCTAATATTTTTGTATTATTTCTCTAGTATACTAATAGGGAAGCTCATTAATAGTGTTTAATTTTTCTTTTTTTTGAGATAAAAGAGTTTTATAGATTAAACAATCATTCTAAGGAGTAAAAATGAAGTCTCTACCCCTTAAAAAGCAATTAGGCTCTTAATTATTAGTTTAATAACTTAATTTCTTGCTGCAATCAAGGATCAATTTACTTTTAAATTACTCTAATAATATAAACGAGATCCATGCTTAGTATATCCATTTTAAATCTTAATACTCTAAAAATTTTGTTTTAGAATACTCATTTACTTTACTCATCTAATATTTTTATTTACTGCTAAATAATACTTTTCATAATTCTAATAATGTGCTAATTGACTTCATGAAGTCACATTTTGAATCAAACCTTAGAAGGATATTTATTTTCCATTTATTGCTGACAAGTAAAAAATTTCTAGCATACTTTAATGCAAAAGATCATTTGAATATATATTTCAAGGAATAAAATAACTCATTCTTATTAATGAATAACATTTTTATACTAACTTCTTTTCCCCTTTTATTGTTTTTAATTTTGAACAAAATTTTTGAATCATCATTTCCACCTTTAACTTAATTATTGTATTCGATGAGTTTAAATAAAATAATAATAATTTTTAATTAAATTTTGGAAAATCTTATAAAAAATGAAATTCTAAGTTAACTTTACAAATTTCATAATAAATAAAATATCAAGATATATTTATGTAATATTCATATTTCAATATATTTTCTAATCTGAATTTCTTTTGAATCATTATCCCAAGTTATTAAATACTAAGCATCATCACTTATACATCCATATATATCAGAACTTCCAAATTCAATGGATTATTCAGTTTTAAACTCACCATTTTCTGTTGTCCTTATCAAATTCACATAAAAGCCATATCTATTTACAAGCAGGCTTTTTGATTTTATATGCTGTTAAGGAAATAAATCATAAACATATCTACCACATTTAACAAGAATATCTTTAGTCTTTAAATACTATTTATTAGTATTATTCATTTCATAAGCGTACATTTATTTTATTGCTGATGGTTAAAATGTGAATAGATTATCATTTATAAAGCATATTCTCTTACCATATTTCTCAACCATTATCTTTTAGATTACAATCCATTTAGAATCCTATTATGATTATTCTATTATTAATATTTATTTATCTTCACCACATGAAATCACTTTATTCTATTGTTAATTCAAACTTAATCCTAATACACAACTAGTATGATCTGTGATAGTTTATTAACATAGCCATTGATTCTACTTCTTCCAAAATTTAATAGTTCTATCACTACTACCTGAGATGATCAAATCTTCAGTATTATTATTATACACTAAACAATATATCGAATTATTATGTCCATTTAATTTCTATTAGCAAATCCATTAATTGTTTTAATTCATAGACCATATTATAATTGAATTATCATCACTTTCAGATATAAAGTGATTAGATTTATTCATAAAATTCAAAGTGTTTACAACATTTTAATGTTCAGTTAGAAGTTGAGTTTATTTCAACATTTCTTATTTGAATTGAAATACTTTAATTTGTTTTTCACATCCAGCTATTACAATTGAACAATCTTTATTAATAGCTATTGCATAACAAGGTTAATGTTATTTAATTGAATTATTGTGTATAATATTATAAGTGAATGGTTTTAGTATTAATTAAAGAGATGATTGAATAATTGGTTATTAAGTTTAAATTTATTATAAATTCTATGATTATAATTATAAATCTTTATCTTTATTTGTTTCTTGTAATGATTATTTTTGAATCTTTTCTTTTCCATAAATTTGATTAAATTATTTCTTGAATTCTTAATTTAGATATTCTTCTTTCTTTTTTATTTGATTATCAATAGAAACCTTTATTAAAGATGTTACTTAATGAATCAATTAATTATTAAATTATTAATTGTTTATATTTGGTTATAACAATATGAACTATTTTATTAAATATTTTCTGATTATTATTATTATTATTATTGTTATTGTTGAAATCTTTAATTAAACAACTATTCAATATCATCCATAGTTTAATCAAGTAAAACATCAATTCTATTGAATGAAGACTAAATGCATGAATGAATTGTTAATACCTATAAATTTTCCTATAGTTAGGAACAGTAAGTTTCAAATTTAGCCTAATATCCCTTCATTATATTTTATTAGTTAAATTCAAAGTTTTCTCTATTGCTGAAGATCATTTAAATTATTTGATTTAGATAAAAACTATTATTAATTAGAATTAATTTAAAGCCAAAAATTAGTATTCATCAGCATGAAAAATGTATAATAAAATAAAATAAATATCATATTTATTTTGTCGAACATTGATTATGCAATTAAATACATCTGATAATTTTTTTATAATAATTGATAAAGTATGACTAATTTTTAATTAGATGCCTTTTTGCCGAAAAATTGGTCTTTTCAGAATTGATTAAAATAAATATTTGAGATCATAGCCCTTGAAGATATTCTTTAAATTAATTCATTGATTAAACAACTTTATAAAAATTTGTTAATTTCTTAGAGAAAAGAAAAAATTGTTAGATAGTATTGGATTAGAGAAAGTTATAATAATTGATTTTGGTGGTTCTTACGATGAAGTTGAAGAAGATAAAGATCATTTTTTCGATAATTGATGTATTTTTGTAGGCTTTATTTGATATAAGTTTTAAAGGAAATAATTATAGTTTTGGTTTATAGTTATAACAAATATCCTGTTAAATGCTTGAACAAAAACAAATGTTAAACTCTTATGATTATTAAATTTTATACACTTAATAACACATATTTTCATCTAATGTTTTTATTTCTCAGTGAATATTGTGACAAGCTTAATGACACTTGAGGAATTAAAAAATGAAATCTGTTCAAAATTAAATAATAATACTTGATTAATTCTTTAATAAGTAAATTTTTATTTTAAATCTACTTCACTCACAAAATAAAAATTCAGATATTAAATTAACTGAAAAAATATTGATATAATTTTTATAAGTGTGCTCTTATTTTCAATACTTCAAAATTACCTTATTAGGAATTAATATGTTAAAAAGTAAGGAAGCTTTTATCCTTCTGCCTTTGTTAGTAAGAATTTAAATATTTTGGTACACTTTATAATTCTGAAGAGTCAATATGAGATTATATTTTTTTGATATAAACCCTAAATTTAGATAATTCAATTAAATAGAACTTAGTCATCTTAAATTGTTAATCTAATATATATAAGGCAATAATGATATCTCATCTGATGAAATTTATGGAATATAACCATAAGAATTGCTATAGGACATTTAAAGATATAAATTGATGCAGTTTTAGATCAGTTTTATTCTAAGTTTGGAATTTAAGTTTAGTTGAGAATTTGATTATATTATTCTAAGACAGATATTCTGATAAGTAAGCAGAAAGAGAAGATTAATAATCCAAATAAATTCTTTATTTCTTAAATATATCTAAGAATAAAAAAATTTATGATTTTTTGACTTATAATTAGTGAAGTTCAAAAATGGGATTAATCAAAATTAGTCTTTAAGACCCTAAAAGACATATATTTTTATGTATTTGTAAAATAGTTTAAAGAGATCATGGAGCTTAATTGTCTTATTTATAGAATCCATCCAGATAAATTTTTAATTAAACTATGGAGGATGTTAGTATATCCTTTAATAAGTTACACTAAAATTATATATCTAATTAGTTTAAGGTAATTTCTCAAATTAAAAGAAAATAAAAAGGAACTCTTATATCAGTGAACTTTTATAACTTTTACAATATAATCATGTATGAATTTATTTGATTAGTTGAACATCATGTGCTTAATTAAGGAAAATTACAGAAAAATTACTTTAGAAAATTTGAAATTCTGTGGCTCTGTAAGAGCAGATTGATTTTAGTTAATCAAAAGAATTAAAAATAATGAGTTCACGATAATAAGAGGAAAATGAAGAGGTATAATTTTGAAGTATAATGAATTGAATATTATTATAATTACCTTTTATTTGAATTGTTTTCTTTAAGGAAATTTTTATGATTAAACATTTCAAAATGTGTAAAACTATTGTATTTCTGAAAATAAATAATAACAAGAAATTTTAAGTTTTGACTAATCATTAAATTTCTGAACAAAAAAAAGTTATATATTAAGTATTATAAGCAAGAAGACCAATTATTAAATTGATAAGAACTTCAATTCACAAATTTATATTTAAAGAAGTTTCTATATACTTAACAGAAAAATTAATGTTGACTATCAATTTACTTATTATTTTTTTAATATATATTACAAATAAAAAATTATGAATTTTAATATATGGATAAACAAATAAAAGTGTTATATTTTAGGATAAATATTTAATTTCTATTAATTAAAATTAAAAACAATATTATAGGAATAAAATGAAATCTTATTAATATTAATATTAATATATTTAATATGGTGCGTCACAACTCAGTTTAATGTTTATCAATATGTCAGTCCGTCCACCAAAGGGGATAAATCTCTCCCCCGTAGATGACTCTTCTCAGGACCCCTTACATTTTGAGGCCTCTACTTCCGGATTTGGTTTAACCTCTTCGCCCACTGACCGCGATCTGATCCCCAAAAGACGCTATCATATTACCGAACTGTATGGGGAAGCTATTCGGGCTCCTTTCCCATGGGCTTCTGAGTCTGATAGCCTTTGTGACCCTCTAAAGCAGCTATAAATAGGCTATTAGGGTCTTAAACAAAGGCATGACCCAGGAGCGCTTATTTTCTTTCTCCCACCATGAATTAAATTTTATTTTTTATGAAATCTTATTTTTATTTGAAATGTTCTATTTGAATATAACAAATGATCAAATAATTCCCAATTCTATAAACATCTTAATACTTTTCAACTACATTAGCTTGCGATAAGTTAACATTAAATATTTAATGCTTATATTAGATTATTCTAAATTTGTTCTTTTCATAAGCCTAACTTTATTGGAGTACTATCCATCAATTGCTTTTTTAAGACTTTACCTTTTTAGTTTACTGTCTACATTCCAAGTTAATTAAAATTAGTTTTTTTAATTCTCAAACTATTCTAAATTATCCGATATTTAAGGAAAATTAACTAAATATTTATAAATCAGAATTTATAATAATAAATACGCTCTTAAGATAAATTTATTATTAATTGAGTAGTTTATTTTCCTTTATGCATAAGAATTTCAATTAGAAATATCTCTTCCTATTGTAATTTCAAAAAGTTTTTCAAATTTGCCATCTTCCAAATATCAGGATGTATCTAAATCTAAAGTATTGTATGTATGTTAGGTTTGATCTTTAAATAATTCACTTTTATAATGTTTTAATCACTTTAAAAATTATAGAGTTTTTTTAATAAATAAAATATTGATTATTAAGATATTTTGTTTTCATTAAATTAGCAACTATGAATTGATTTATAATTAGTACAAAGAAATTAGATTAAGAATTGAAATTTAGATTATACAAAATATTTAAAATGAGGGCTTCTTTATATTTATATTTATTTCAGCAATGAGATACACTTCAATTTTCAATAATTAAATTCTAAGCAATTAAATTTTTTTACCCAAAAATTGATTATGATTTCCAAAATTAGCATTATCAGATATTAAACTTAAACATAACTTCAGTAAATGGATATTTATTATTATTTTCTTTCAAACTAATTTGCCTAAGACGAATCCTAGCATTCAGATTAAAAAAAATTAGATAAAAAGTATAAACTGAACTAATAAATCTCATTATTAATAATAAAATATGTAGAATTAGGAATGCACATATTATAAATGTCAAATGATTAATCATTACATATACAGTCATTAAACTCAAAAAATATTACACCCTTAATATCATTTGAACAATTTTAATAATGGATTAGAAGCCAGATGATTTCAATTTCAGATCTAAAGGAATTCAACAATTTGAGTATTTAATATGCTTGCCATATGATTTAACTAATCTAGATCCTATACTTAATTTCTTTAATTGAAGTATCTTATTGAACCCAGAAAATTTTGCCAAAAAATTAAAAAGCTCCTTATGAGACCAATTAAAAAGTAACCTGAAGATATTATGAATCAAAATGTGACCTAAAATAAAACTTAGAGATTAACATTCAAGAGTTAATAATAAAGAATACTTTTTAAATAAATCTAAATAGAATAAAGAATAATATAATAATAAGGACTATTAGTTTTAAAAGTTAAATAGTAAGGAATACTTAAAGAATTTGAAATATAAATTTGTTGTTGGACCAGATTCAAAAGAACTAAGAAAATCAATAAATTGATGATTGGTCCATTAGAAGAAGAAGAAGAAGAAGAAGATGTAGCTTTGATAAAATAGAATAAAATGATAATAAATAATTTACTAAATTACGTAGAAAGAACTAATTTAGAATTAAGTAAGCTCATGTATATTAAGAAGGTTAGTATGAGAATGAAATAATCTATTATGGGTATAATTATTAGTAGTAGGATAAAATATATTGTAATATATGTATAAGATTAGTAATGATGGTATTTATAATTAGTAAGATGAGAAAGATGAATCATGAAATGAAATCTTTTTGAAAAATTCATACTAGATTAATCATTACCTTCTTTTTGGTATTACTAGTTCAAAAAAAAATCCTAAATGGATTTAGAATAATACTTAAGTCAAGTTTAAAGGTGTATATAAAATCTTTTTTAAATTAGGAAGTTTAAGTATTTATTTATAAAAAATTAGGGGATTATAAATATATATTGATGTAAAATTAGAATAATAAATAATATACAATTGATGAATTAGATTGAGGTTTTAAATAAATTGATAGGTCAAATATTTTTTTGATAAAATTAAACATTAATCCTATTATTTATAAAAATAAATTATAGAGACTATAATCAGAAAAAAAATAAAACTACTAATACTTTGGTCAATATTTGTAAAAAAAAATATTTATATCAATTAATTTTATTATTGTCTTTTCAATAATTCTGAAATAAAATCATATAAGATATGTTTAGTATTAAATAAATCAAATTTTATAGAGCCTTCCTATTTGATAATAAACTAGAATGAGAAAATTAGGAATAATAATAGCTTCATTTAAAGTAAGAATCATTGTAAATAAATTCTAATTTACAGATCCTCTCTATATTTTTTAACATTCTTTAATGATTCACTATAAATATAGAGTTTAGGTTTATCATATATGAAATATTTGATTAAAATAATCTAAACTGAATTCAAGTTGTAAATATCCAATTTTTTATAACAATACTTATTAATACCTTAAATTTTATATTTTTATAACTAAATTAAATATAAAGTTTCTTGAAATCTAGATTTGAACATAGGGTATCTTAATTCAATTTAATATCTTTAGAAGCAAAAATAAGAAAATATAAAAGCTATTAATATTAGTAACATTTAAAATTGAAGCATTTCCAAAATCTATTTATTGTTTCAGAATATCATTCATCATATGATCTGATTAATTTAATAATCTAGGTATAAAAATTGAAATTATGTGCAATCTATATGTATCTAAAGAAAACTGAAAAAAGAAGAATCTATAATTTTACATATTATTATCTGAAATTCAATTATAATTCTTCATTAAAATTGAACAGCATAATTTAAGTTCCTTTAACTTTTTACAAAATATTAATGTTATTTCACAACAATTTAAGAAATATCGGAGTACAAAATTATGAAACTTTAAAATTTTAATACTAGATGATTTAAAGGAGTAATGAAAAATGAGTTTTAAATTAAATTTATATAATTTTAGTTATTAACATCATTAGTAGATTAAATCTAATTTTATGATTTTTAATAATTACATACATTCCAGAAATCTAATCTATTTATTAGAAAATGTACTTTTAGCTATTTAATTTTATAAGTTACAAATATATCACTTAACTATCGTGCTTGAATTTGTTATTCTATAAAATACTTAATTTTCATATATTAAGTTTTCTATAGTAGAGTTTATCTTAAGAAATAAAATAACTAATAAATAGATTCATTTTTCAACCATAAAATATATTCTATAAATTTATTATCTTAACAGTAGAATCAAGCCTTTGAATTTTTATATAATTTGGAATCTATTTTATCAAAGAATAAGATATCATTTATATATTAAAAAGAATTACTAATTAGTAAATAAGGTTTATTAGGTTATTCTTAAATGATTTTATAAGGATATAATAAAAGAGGATAGTTTTTTTAAGGCATATCAACATCATTTCAATATTATTCGCTTATAACATTAGATATCAGAACAGACAACTGTCCTTAATAATAGAGTAAATTATTTTTATATATATAAATATAAATCTGAATGAATGTATATAATTCACTTATTAATCCTAATAAATTTTTTATATCCCTCTTTTTAATTATATTTAGTTATAAAAACTAGTAAATAAAATTTATTGACAATAGATAGAATCTAATGATTTTAAATTTAATCATAACTTTTAGGTTATATTCAAAAAGTTATTGGCTCTTAATAAATACTATTTGATCTTATTATTGTTTATATTTAAAAATTTGGAATTTTATACCAATTTGAAGATGCATTTTATTGTTTTTTAAAGAATTTGTCTTATTACAAGTGATTTAATATATAGTTTGATCATTTATACAAGAAAAATTATATATTTTGTTATATTGGAGATTTGTGAATAATAAGGTAATTAGAAATTTTTGATATTGATTTCTCATTATGAAGATATATTTAGTAATTCTACTTAAATCTTCGAAGTATTATTTATTTCAAAAATATATATTATCATAAAATTTAATTAGCTTCACTTTTAAATTTATTTGATGTTATTTAGTTGGTTTTTAGTGTTATCAGTTATATATAACATTTTACAATAGTTACACTAGTAAAATGATTTCATAATTAATCTAGAAGTATTTATAGGAAATTTATTCATGATTTCTACTCTAGTATAAAAAAACCTTCAACTTATTTCATAATTATTATAATAGATTCATACTTTTACTATAAGCTTTATTATTATAATCATTTAGAGGAACAAAAATTATTCATTTCATAATTGATAATTAAAATATTTAAGAATAATCTTAATGACATATATATATAAATTGACTTTGTTAGTGTTTTTTCTTAATTGCTATATTTTTATTGTTAGAATTTTGAATTAAAAAATGAGTAATTTCTTAAATAATTTATCATATTGAAATGATAGTATTAGATAATATATTAATTTTAATAGATATTTTCATTAAGACCTGAATATTTATTTATTTTTTATAAATAAAGAGGAATTGTTTATGATTTCATTACGACCATTATTATTTAATTTTCATTGATGAACGATATATCAATTTAAATTGAAGTATATGATGTATTTAATGTAAGTATATCAAAAATACACCTTCAAAAATCAAAATAATTGACTCATGGTGAGGCATTCACATAAATTGGTGGAGCATGGTTATATTACAAAGAGTATTCTTAATAATTGTATTGTAATGGCTAATAATCAGGTTAGTTAGAAAAATTAAATATTAGTTGGATTTTTATTTGCCTGTCTTTTTTTAATCTTATTCTGAATGCCTAAATTAGTTTTTATCGGGGTATTAGATGAAAAATGTCTTGCTTTTATTTTTGTAAATGATTTTAGTAACTTAAGATGATTAATTATGTCAAGATTGTTGTTGAATCATTAAATACAATTTTCGATACTTTATTACCTTTCAACCAAAATTAATAATCTAATTGTTTATCTTGGTTAGTATTGATTATTTTCTCATTTATTGCTGATAATTTTGGTAGAAAATTGTCATCGTCAATTTCTGTTGAAGCCCTCTTAGTTAAAGTATTCTATATTTTTAATATTTAAGTTTGATATGAACTAATAGATGTTAACTATAGTTCTATTCTTTTTAAGTTTTCGAGATATGCCGATAATTACTGTACATTATTCATTTATTAATGAACTTTCCTGTAATTTAATTATATCAAAGATTTTATATAGAGAGTAATTTTAGGGAGGTCTAAAATGTTGGTGTCAAAGTGTTTTTTCTAATTTGTAAATTTGCTATAATAGCATTAGCATATTTTATTACGTTTTGGAAATGGTTAGAAATTACAGTTGCAATACCATATTTTTTATAAATTATTGGTAGTCTTTTGATATTTGAATCTTCTTATTTCTATAAATAAGATTAAGAAAATATGACATCACCTTTTCCTTATTCATGATTATATTTAAATATATATTNATCTAATTCTAATAATAACTCTAATTAAATAGGATAAATATTAAAATAAGCCAAAACTGCCTTTAAGATTTACTTCATGAATTTATAAATTCCAGATCCTACAAAAAATATTAAATAAACCTGAAGAAAGTAAATTAGCTCACTGTAAGAAGAAGAAAAATATATAGAACTTGATGAGATTGTTTATTTCATAAATACTAATTGAATTTTGAACTATAATAATACAAAAATATTCAAAGTCTATCTTATAAATAAGGTATTGAATCTCTAGCTAATTTTCAATATTTGCATGTAAGACTAGAAATTATATGAAGATTTCAAACTACTTATTAATTATCGATTGATACAAACCATGATTCTCTCAAATTTATAAAAATAAATAGTAAACTCTAAGTGATTGTATCACTATTAATACCTTTTGTAATTATGTTTTTTCTCTCAAAGTTATAGTGACACACAAGTAAGTTAAAATCTAAGCTGTCATTCGAAATTCTTTTCCTTTTTACTTCATAAATACATATTAAATTTTAAAGAAATATAGAATGAAAATAAAATAATGATAAAAAAGGAATAATTTTTATTTAAATCCAGATTTGAAAGAAGATTGATATTTTTATAATTTGGATATATAAAGATTTATTAGGGTATAAAACATTCTTGAATAATGTAGATGATAAACAGTGTACTGTGTATAAATAGTCTAAATCTATGATAGATAAACCCCATTTCTTTCATCATTAAATTCAATTAGTAAAAAATTAATTCAGATATCAATTTTCTGTATTTTGTTTTATATTTCTACTTTTGAAATTTCCTATATATTTTTTTAATCACTAAATATTTTTAAAATATAGAAAAACGATAGATTTAGAATAAAAATTAAAGATATATAATCAATAATTTATAATTCCACTATCATTGTATCAAATATTTTCTTTTTAAATCAAACATCTATTTTAAAATTATATAAATAATCTAATATTTAAAGATTTAAAGATTGATATAAATGAGAACTAAGAATTGAATTAAAAAAAATAATGAACTCATAACAATGTATTATTTTTAGGTTACAATAGAATATTTAAGATTCTAATTCAGCGAGTAATTTAATCTTTATTGTTACAAATAGTTTAAATTCCTATATATAATTAACAAGTTTTATAATATATTGATATATGTATCAATAGTGATACAAGGATCTAGTTATGATAATTAATAAATTAAAGCCTAAATATTATTCTTTTGAAAAATTGTATCTTTAAAAAGTAAGATGTATAGTTTAAAGAAAATTTAAGATATATAAAAACATTCATACTTAAATAATCTCTTATGTTAAAGGAAAAATCTTAAGTTTTTTTATGAGTGTAAATAAAGAGAAATTAATACATGAAATTTCTAGAAGTTTCTGCAGGTCGTTATAGTATAAAGAGTTTAGTACTTATAAGGAGCCATATTACTAGATTTCGCCTTTATATTCCTGTACCATAAATCTACTAAACCAAGCGGTTTTTCTAGAAATCCCCTTAACTCTTAATTATGCTGTAAGAATGAATATTACATTTTTAATGAATATGTTGTGAGCAGTTTATTAATTACTTAATTATAATTCCAGTGATCTAACAAACTAATATTAAAAGTTAATTGTCAATTACTATAATTTCTTTATCTATAATCATAATGAAATTTTGTTTCAACTAATTTCAAAAGCAGAAGATTATATATCATTTTTTTAAGTAATACAGAAAGTAATTTGAGGAAGTTCAAATATTAGTCTAAAAGGGAGAGCTGTATAATTATTTAAGATTTTAATGTTTTAGTATTACATACATCTAAAGATAAATTTAATGTGCATCTACCATGACTTGTCTTAGGAACAAAAAATTATTAAATAGACTTTACATTTATTGTGAAATCATGAAAAGAAAATATAGTA